TGGTACACAGACACAGAGGCAAGCAAAACACCTACAGATATAAATAAATCTCAAAAAAAGCTTTAAAATTTTATGCACAATTATATATACAATCCAGAAAGTAAAACAAGTCCCCATAATTGAAGAACATGTTTACAGACGCCTGTTTGATTAAGAACTAGTATCTGAAATATATTAAAAAAAAAAAAAAAAAAAACTCAGAAAATAGAACATGGGAGGGAGCTCAGCGGTTAAGAGCACTGGCTGCCTTTCCAGAGGACCCAGGTTCAGTTCCCAGCACCCACATGGTGGCTCATAGCCATCTGTAACTCTAGTTCCCAGGAATTCAGCGATCTCTCCTGACCTCCATGGGCACTGCACCCATGTGATACACAGACATACCTACTGGCAAAACATACATACACATAATATAAAATTTTTAAAGATAAGGGCTGGAGAGATGGCTCAGAGGGTAAGAGCACTGGCTGTTCTGCCAGAGGTCTTGAGTTCAATTCCCAGCAACCACATGGTGGCTCACAACCATCTGTAATGAGATCTGGTGCCCTTTTCTGGTGTGCAGGCATACATGCAGACAGAGCACTGTATATGTAATAACTAAATAAATTGTATAAATAAATAAATAAATAAAATAAAACTTATTTTTTTAAAAAAATTTTAAGATTAAAAACCCTCAGAATTCAAAATTACAAGTCAATATTTTTAAGATTTATTTATTTTATTTTATGGGTATTTTGCATACATGTGTGTATATATGTACTCCATGTACATGCCTGTTGCCCACAGTGGTCAGAAGGGCACTGGAGCCCTTAAAACTGGAGTTAGGGATAGTTGGGAGCTACCATGTTCTTCCTAAGAACTAAGCCTGGATCCTGCAAGAAAAAAAAAATCCTCTTTTTTTTTTTTTAAAGATTTATTTATTTATTATGTGTACAGTGTTCTGTCTGCACATATCCCTGCAGGCCAGAAGAGGGCACCAGATCTCACTGTAGATGGTTGTGAGCTACCATCTGTGGCTTGCTGGGAATTGATCTCAGGATCTTTGGAAGAACAAGCAGTGCTCTTAACCTCTGAGCCATCTCTCCAGCCCAAACAAGTCCATTTCTTTATTTTATTTTAATTTATGTGCCTGTGTTGAGCAGGGTAGTGTAGGCCTTAGCATTCAGAAGGCAGAGGCAGGAGGATCTCCAGATGAAGGCTATCCTGCACTACATTGGGACTTTCAGGCTAAGCAGAGCTGCAGAGTAAGACCCTGTCTAATAAATGAAAGAGTGAGAGAATACGATAGAGAGAGAGAGAGATGTATGCACGTGCCTGAGGAGACAGCATGGAGCATGGTTTTCCAGGAACTAGGAGTATAGGTGGTCATGAGCCGTTCACCATGGGCGCTGCAAAGCAAACTCAGGGCCTCTGCAACAGCAGCAGCAAATGCTCTTCATTCCTGAGCTGTCTCTCTGCAGTCTGTAAGTCAGTTTATTTGGGGCTTTTATTTTGTGTGTGTGTGTGTGTGTGTGTGTGTTGCCTGCATGCATGTCAGTACACTATATGAGTGCAGTACCCACAGGGACCAGAAGAATTGATTGGATCCTTTGGAACTGGAGTTGCAGATGGTTGT